CCCCCCCCCCCCCACACGTGCAGTGAGCGCGGGGTCTGCGCGTCTCCCCCCACTCACACGTTGGGGGGACAGATGCTGCCACACTGGCTTCCACATGGGTGCTGGGGTCTAACCCCAGGTCCTTATGCTTGCTCAGCGGGCATTTGGCTGACTGAAGCAGCTTTCCAGCCCGGAGCTTTGTTTTTACCTGGAATAATTATATGAATTTTAATAGTAGATTTTATTATTGTGCTTTTCATGCTTCTTTTTATTCCTTGCTAAACACTTTGGAGATGTGGCAGCAGTATAGGACCTACTATGTCTTCAGCTGTAGAAACAAGGTTCTGAGATTACTGTTCATCCTCTAACATGGCAGTCCAAATACTCTTCCCTCTTGGCATAATAAATTACAAAAGTACAATTAATTGTCTATGAGCGTTTATTACCAGGCATATGATACTGTGGGTAAGCACTGTTACTGATGTTTTCCCTGTCAGTGACCAAGGTATTTACACATTTAATAAAGTAGAAAAACGTTTTAAAAATTAATAAGATATTTTTCACGAACTGCCAATTCAACTGGAACACTGAATAGTAGAAATAACAAAAGATTTGTTCTTAGGGCTGATTAAAAATTTATATCAGAGCATTCAAGTAAAGTTATTTTCTGTGTTCTGATTTAATGAATCATATGAGTTGTATCTGGTTGGGTGACACAGATTCGGGCTCACTGAAGCCTACCTAATCCTTCCCACACACCTGGGGATGGGAAAAACACATGGCAGACCAAAGTCAAGGCAGGGGGAGAGTGTGGGGCTGCAGCTGCCCTGAGCTGAGCTGTGAGCATCCCTAAGTCAACTGCCTTGGGCTTCAGTGACCTCACACGCACCAGCAGCAACAGAGATGCAATCATAATGATCTCAAAAATTTCTTCCAATTCATGCTGAAAAACACTACACCTAATGCCTTTAACCCTTTTGAAAAAGAGCCTTAGAAACCACCAGTGGCGCACCTTAAAAGGTGAGTGGGGTTGAAGTGTCTTATATATACTTGTGTAATAAGTGTTTACGTTAGCTCCTTTAACTGTTAGATTCTAAAATGTACATTTAGAAAATAAAATGTATCCACTACCATTAAAGACAAACTGTCAATAAATGAGATATATGACTACACGTAGAAACACAGACACGAGACAGCGGTGCTCACTCGGTGTTAGAACAGGCATGAACAATGAAATGTATGGGACTGTGGCATAACCCACATATGGGACGTTCTCTAACAAAAGATAAATAACATTTATGAGGACGGTTTCTTAGGATGGTAGAGATACAAAGAAGCAAACACAGCATCCAAAACATGGAAACGACATTCTTCAAGACAGCGTGCAAACCTGTGACTGTTCCCGCAGAGATAGAATCCGAAAGCGTTACTTACAATGTCAGCAACACCACAGCGATCAAAGTCCATTCCACGGGCTTGTGGATAATGTTTCGGTTTGATAATCTGAAAGACATCAAGATTTTACCTTCAAATTTTAGTTCTTCATAAGAATTATGATTTAATGTGTCAGAGAGGTAGTTATTTTATTTTGGTTTTTCAAGACAGGGTTTCTCAGTGTAACAGTCCTGGCTGTCCTGGAACTCAGAGATCCACCTGCCTCTGCCTCCCCAGAGCTGGAATTAAAGGCGTGCACCGCCACCGCCTGCTAAGAGGCAGGTCTAAACACCCGCTCTGTTCCACAGGGCAGGCAGTGGTGTAATAATGTGCTGTTATTCAGGGCTTGGTATGGACAGTTCCGGACCATCCCGGCTCTGAGAGTCCAGCCACAGAGAGCAGCAGTCTCCACAGGAAGCACTCAGCTGCGCTCTTACACATTATAGCAAAGGTGATATTAGAACAGGATCATGAGACTCACGAGGAAAGTGAGACCACATTTGTTCAGACAGACGCACATGCCCCCAGCCCACATCAGCACCCACTGAAGCTAACAAGGGAAGCTGCTCTGCCCCTAGCTTTGCCCTGTGCTTGATTGGCAGTGGACAACAAGGGATGCCATAATTATAGAAAATGAATGCTAGCTCACCAGATTCAAATCTGGAATGTATATATGAGTACCTTCTCTCTAGATATAAAGGCTTAAAGTACTTTCATTTATGTATGATGACCTATGGAAACCTTTAACAAAATACTGCTTATAATAGAGAAAATGAATTGTGGCATACTTAGAGTATTAAACAACCATCAATATGAATGGCCTAGACTTCCATACGCTGGATAATCACTCTGAATGAACCAAACACGGTGTGGCATCATTTCCATCAGTCAAGAATGGGCAAGACTAAGCGCTGTGTGGACACACACAGCACAGAAGAGAAAACCAAAGACCAGATGGACACACGCACTTCACAGTATAGGTGCTCTCTCCGCAGATGAACGTCCCTGCCCCCTCTGCTCAGCTGACTTCCCTTTCTTTCCCACACCCCATATCACCTCCTCTCCCTTGCCTGAGAAGAGATCTCGGTGCTCTCCACCCATTTATCCAGGTGCCAGAACAAGTGTTTACAGTCTTTACTACGAGTGAAACGTTAGAAAATTAAAAACCTATCAGTTTGTTTTGTCAATCTGGATTTTCTCTATAGTTTAGAATGTTTTTCCAAATTAATAAAAAGTCTAGCTATAAAAAGGCAGTACAGTATAACAGTCCGCTAATGTGGATATTAGCCCAGCTCTGTCACTTAATGGAGTTTCAGACTCCAATACCTACTAATAATATAAAATATTAAGTGGGGTGTGGTAGTGCACACCTCTGATACCAACACTGGAGAGGCAGAGCCCAGGGAATCTCTGTACGTTTGGGGCTAGCCTGATCTATAGAGCCATTACAAGTCCAGTAGGGATATACACACACATAGTCCTTGTCTCAAAAACAACAAAAGCAAACTGAACCAAACTTTGAAGAACTGGTACAGAAAGCTCCACAGAACTTCCCTTTGTACAAAAGGCCACCAGATCCCTCTCCCTTCACCCACCAGCGGGCTCCCACACAGAAAGCTCCACAGAACTTCCCTTTGGACAAAAGGCCACCAGATCCCTCTCCCTTCACCCACCAGCGGGCTCCCACACAGCTGAGCAGAGCGATCCCTGTGCTCAGTTTCCCCTTCCCTCCTGGCGTCACCCCAAACCTCCAAACCCTGGGCTCTTCTCTGCAGACACTTCCTTCTGGAGACTCCCTCTTACAGCCCAAAGACAACCAGGGCTCCAACCTTCTGCCCTAGCCTGGACCTTGTCCCTGTTTTCCAGTTTCTGCTTCTGGTCTACTCGGCACACGTGACACACGCACATACATTCCTCCCCTTCTGGCAGGGGCAGGCTTTCCTAGTCCCAACCCCCAGTTTCTCGGCTCTTCACACAGATTTTTCTCCTCTTGCCAGCGCTCACTTCCCCAGGCTTACCAGCATCCTAAATGTTCAGTGACGATGTCACTCTTGTCCACAGGGTTCGCCTTTAATTTTACTTTATAAGCATGTGCGGTGTGTTTCCTGCAGGTGTGTCTGTGCACCATGTGCATGCAGTGCCCAGAGGCAAGAAGGGGGCGTCAGATCACCAGGAACCGGAGCTACTGATAGTTGTGAGGCACCACACGGGCATTAAGAATTGAACTCAGGTCCTCCAGAGGGGTGCTCCTGAGACTGAGCCAACAACCCAGCCCCATTTCCAGGTTTCTTAATTTTTTATTTTTTAGTGTGTGTTGAGTGTGTGCCACGGTGCACATATAGAGGTCGGAGTACAACTTCCTGGTTCACTTCTTCCAGCTCTGTGTGGGTTTCGGGAATCAGACTCATGTTCAGAGGCCTGCGCAGCAAGTCTTTCTACCTGCTGAGTTCTGTCGGATGACTTCACACAGTAATAGCTCCTGACCTTACCCGGATGCGCCTCTCACTGCTGGTCCCCCTCCCATGAACGAGAAACTTTCTCACACACTGGAAACTGAGAAGAGTGTATGGCCACACACTAATACATCACACCAGGACATGCCTACGGCCCTCAGGCAAGATGAAGGTCCATGAGATATGGGCTTTTCTGTTTACTGTCGTCCTGTACGAAATAACATGGAACTCAGCTCAGCGCATAACCACGAAGAGCTGAAACGGCGAGAACAGTGTGATACAGCTACTCCTTTGGATGGGTCTCACTATGCAGCCCTGAGCTAGCCTGGAGCTTACATAGATTAGCAGGCTACTGCCTCTGCCTCTGAGTACTTGGATTAAGACGTGCACCATCAGGCCTAAAATTCTGGTTTTCGTTGTTAAACCTCTCAGTTAACATACAGTTACAGTTTCATGAGTTCCTCTGTCATTCAGCACGTGTGTAATTTATAACATTGCCCCAGGTACCAGGGAAGCACAGTGAGCTGCCTTAGTCACTTTCCTATTGCCACGTTTCCTACTGACAAGTTCAGAGGGCGAGGCCATGGCCACCATGGCAGCGAGCAGGCAGCAGGCACCCACGGCACTGGAGCAGTCGCTGAGAGCAGCATCTGATCCCCAAGTGGGGAGAGAGGGAGTCAACCGAGAACAGCCTGAGCCCACCCCAGTGACACACCTCCTCCAGCAAGGCCACACCTCCTAATTCTTCCTAAACAGTTCCACCAACTGGAGACCAATACGCTAACATATGAGCTCGCAGTATTTCTATCACACTAGCAGACCAGAAAGTTCTACTTGCTTTCGTAAGTTCTACTTGCTGATCCACAACCATCTGTAACTCCAGTTCTAGGGGACCAATGCCCTCTTCTGGCCCTGGGCACATGTTAATTTAAATTTATACACGTTTAGAAAAAAGTCTTCACTCATCACAGATAAAATTTAAAGAGAATTTTAAAGGCAGAATAGTATAGGATTTTAATTCGTAGCTGCTCAGACAAGCATCTTGACCAGCTCGGTTGGAGCCTTTCTGTGCTGTGACAGACACAGCCCAGCTTGGGTCACAGAGCAGGTGGAGTGTGCACAGCTCTCTACTCAGGCACCAAAAGCTCTCAGCTCTGCATGCCGGAATCACCTAGGGGGCTTTTAAGCTATCCTACCGTCTGAGCAGAACCCTAACTAATCGGAGGACTGGTCTCCAAGGGCCACGCCACACATTTAAGCTGTTAAAGGCTTCAGAATGACCATTCTGCAGGTTCCTAGCACTGGCGGTCACGCGAAGAGAAAGACGCAGTAATTATGTCACTTTTTCCACTGTTAGTGTTCACTGAGAGGATCTCTCCACGCTCCACTGCCAGCAACAGGGCATCTTCACAAGAGGACTCAGACTACAGAGTCTCACTTTCTCCCTGGGAGCCCCTGACATTTCCTTGAAGGCAGGGAGGAAACTTAGAGTTACAGACTCCAACCCACAGGCTTTAGAGGGAAGACTATTAAAAATAACTTACTCGACATCAAGTTTGTCTTGGAAGCAGAATTCTACAGAACTCTACCAAGATAATGTTTATGGTTGGTGCTTGTTTTTCACAGATGTTATTAAATTTCAAGCATCTGTAAAAGCAGAGAAAGCAAAAACAAAGCTATTGTACACTACTTCTTTTTCTGACAACAGCCAGCTCCGGACCAGCCAGGTTTCACTTTCACGGCCTCACACTTACCACCACCCCTACTAACCGGGGTGATTCTGAAGTCTTACGTGAATAAGGGAAAAAGAAATTGGAAGGGATCTGGTTGCAAAACAGGGATGAGAGAGAAAGTGACAAGGTTAGTTTGTACAATAAATTGACAATTCAAAGGCTCCGCATACCCGCAGCCTGTTCGCTAGGACTGAAGAACCATGTGTCTCTCGTCCTGCTAGCTCAGGTGTCGGAAGAACGAGGCTCGTGGGTAAGGAAGTTAATGGTAGATTCCATACAAATCCTTAGTAATTCTGACGGGCTCTTTACTGGTCTAAACCGAATACCTTTGGAAGCACTCAAGTATACCCCAGCTGCTCCTTCGATCTGTGTGTGAGGAAACCAGACTGACTTGGACTGGATACCAGGAAAGTTGCCAGTTCAGGGAATGGAAGCTGTAAGACAAGTCAAATGACTTAAGGGGCTTTTTGTGTGTGTTCTTAGAAGTCAAACCTGGGCCCCATGCATGCCAGCCACACACTCTACCACGGAACCACAGCCCCAGTCTACAAGGCAGACTTCTATCTATATCTCAGCTTTAATATCAGTTCTTCATGAGGGTTGCTGAGATAGCATCCCCTCCCACAAGCTTGCAGAACTACCTCTGTGGTCCTTTCCTCAGGTTTGTGTGTGCATAGCAGTAAAGGATCTACTCTGAGCAAACTCTGAGCCCACGATGGAACACATGGGCTCATGCATCTGAATAGACAGAGACTGTCGAGTAAAGTATCTGCCTGGGGAAGAGTTAAGCTACAGGAAGAGGTGAATAAAGAAAAAACACAAGGCAAATGGAGGGAAACACCACCCGAGAACAGGCCTGGCCTGACTCTTAAGTTCCATTAGGGAGCTCACAGTCTAGCTCCATCTAGTGAATCAATCGGACACAGTATGACATCACCGCATTAGCCCCTGCCTTGTTCCTCTGCCTTTGTTAAGATTTGCTGAGAACCAATTCATGTTTATGGAAACTAGACACATACCACAACATTTAAGATATGGTAGAAGCATAGAATAGAGAGGGTGAGGACCCCAACCCAGCAGTGAGGAGCCCAACGCGGCAGTGCGGACCCGACACCACAGTGCGGGCCCCAATATGGCACTGATGACCCTGTGGTGCTAATTTCTTGGCGAGGGGATTGAACCCATGGCTTTGAATACACTAGACAGGCGCTATAGCCCTGAGCTACACCCCCAGCCCCTAAAACAAGTTTCACTGTCTAATTCTGAAGTAAAGGGCCAGACAGAAAACCAAGTACTGTGGTCACTGACCTAAAGCAAACAAGGGCTCTTTTCGGAACCATGGACAGACTGCCGTAAAACTCATCGGCCCGCCCTTGATGATCCACGACCTTCCCTCTGTCAAGAGGCTCGAGATCAAAACCCAATGGCTGGTTATGAGCTGGGAGAGGCTGTTTTACTTCTTACCTGTAACCGTGAAACGGCAGCACCCTCGCTTTCAGAGATTAGGTAACTTGGTAAAGCCCGACATGTGATGAGAACTGACTTCATGGGTTGACATCAGCCAGACATTATTACCAGTGCCGCTTCCAGAGACCAGCAGTAAGGTTTCCAACACCAAACACCCACGTTTCCATGGATGTACAGTAGTTACGGAGCGACCCTACAGTTACTTTAAAACTACAATCCGAATGACATCAGTAGCCCCGCAAGAGTGAGAAATGTTGCCTGTTCAACAGCACAGTGTGACTAAGGCACCATGTTTTATTATTTAACTGAAATGCCAACCTTAGAGCAGAGGGAAAAGCGGTGTTTGGTAGTGTTCGAGTTGGAACCCAGTGCTCATTCATGCTGGGTGCGCTACAGGGTCCTCTGAAAGGACCTGTTCCTAGAGCTCTTCTCGGGTGACATCAGCAGTTTGCTCAGAACAGCCATGAGACGCCCACTGCCCGAGGGACATGCGGGGCAAAATCTTACAAACCAGCAAGACTGTTACTATGACACTCCCCGAGAGGCCGGGACAGATCCTCAATCCCAGCATTCACACACCACGGACTGGTATCCAAACTCACCACCCCTACACAGTTCTGTATGGTTCTAGTAGAGACATAAGATGCAAAGAGTATGTTTCCATCATGAACAGGGATACAAAAAATAAATAAATAAATAATAACACCCTGAGTTTTGTGGTATTTGGCCTGGACCCTCTTTTTCACAAAGCATTTATTCAAAAGGTCTGTGCCAATCTTAAGACCATCCTCGCAGCCCTGAAGTTTTGTGATCAATGATCTTTAAGTTGTATTGTCTCTGAGACAACGACAATCATAACCATCAGTAATTAGAAAAATCATATCTTCAGGTTTATTTTTAGACATTCACATATGGACATCCCAGGGAGACTGTCCTCATGTACATGTTTTTATTAACCAGGAAACTCTCAACTGCTCCTCTTTCCACGGAGAAAATCTGTTCCCTCTCTGTAGCTCTCAGTGCTCCAAGCATCCCCCACGATCCAGTAAATCACGCACTACCTGCCCCGTGTGCTTGCAGGTGAGCCTCCCTGAGGATCAGCCTGCCTCGTGCACCCAGAGGCTCACCGCAGAGATGCTCATCTGGGGCACACTTACGGTTTCATTAAATTTGCTGCGAGCTGCTTTGTGTCCAGACACAACTTTCCTTTTGTGTGTGTGCGTATGTGTGGGGTCAGAAGACAACTGGGTTTCGTGTTTCAGGTGTCACCCACCATCTCTAAGGCAGGGTCTCCCTCTGGCCGAGAACTTGCCAACTACCATGGCTGCCGGCAGCCACAGGGCCTGTCTCTACCTCCTTAGTGCAGAGATTACTCACACACACAACTACGCTAGCTTTTTCGTTTTTTAAAATATTTGGCTTTTGGGGACTTGTGGTTTGAATAGGAATGACCTTCATAGAATCAATGTGTTGAAGGCTTGGACCACAGGGAATGACACCATTAGGAGGCGTGGCCTTGTTAAAGGAAGTATGCCCACTGTGGAGGTGGCTTTGAGGTCTTGGACAGTCTCTTTCTGCTGCCTGTCGGTCAAGATCTCACTACCTCTCCAGCACCGCGTCTGCCTGCGTGCCGCCATGTTGACCGCCATGACAATATGGACTAAACCTCTGAACTGTGAGTCAGCCCCAATTAAATGTTTTCCTTTATAAGAGTTGCCTGTGGGACTCTTCCCAGCAATAGAAGCCGTAACTAAGACTCAGGTCACTGCTTCCCAGGCCAGCACTCTACTGACTGCAGCATCTCCCCAGGCTCTAAGTCCTCCTCCTCAATGCAGTTTACGTTACAACAAGCTAGCCAGAGAAAAACTGGTCAAAATTGAGCCAATAAGGAGCTGTGTTCAACAGGAATCACAAGTACTGTCCAGAGGAGGAGAAAACAGCACCGAGTGCTCCTCCGGGGCAGATGTGGGGCAGATGTGGGCCCACAAAGGCAAAGCACAGACCCTCCTGCCTTAGCCTCCCCATGGACTGTGCCAGAGCCAGTATGGCTAAAATAACAGAGAAGGAAAATTACAACATTCACACTAACCTGAAAGTCTGAACAAGGCTTTTCAGTTCCGAGTAAATATCACCTATTGTAATCTGAAGAGGACCCAAAAGTCCAGGCAATCTGAAACGAAAAAACAAATAATTATACATTATATAAAGCTAGAACACATCTCGGTGGGCAATCCTGCCTCTGGGGTTTCCTGGCCACTAGCAACACTCAGGTAGAAGCAAGGGTTAAGCTACATACCAGTGAGATGTCAAAGGAGCATTATCCTAACTTCAGTTGCGTGCGTGTCTGCGCTAAAGCGTGCAAAGCCCTGACACACAAACCCACTCTGGCTGCAGCTAAGGACCCCAAGGGCAGGCCAGTATAGATGCCTGAACACCACCCCCTGTACCAACCTGTCCTCACCTTTGGCTCCATGGTTTTACTACTAAAGCATTAATTACCCTCTGAATAATCACACAAACGCTATTCTAACAAACACGAGAAGATGGCTGTAGACACACTTTAGTGAAAACTTGGAGATAAACATATCAGTAGGTGATTTATATGACAGATACATTTAGTAACCCCTTAAAAAACACCTTTAAAATAGCACAGATTGTTTTTTGAAAATGTAAAATATTAGGTGAAAAACGCATATACCACATAACACATTTGAAATAAAAGTACACAACGCTTATTATACACAAAATATATTTAATTCCTTCTAGAGTTTTTTTTATTATTATAACAGGAAAGCAAAGGAACACACACACACCAGATATAGCATATGGAGATGCAGCCTGGCTTGCCCTCACTTTCTATGTAGTTAAAAACAGCCCTGAACCCCTCATCCTGCTGTTTCACAGGATGTGCAGGACCCCTGGCTCAGATCCAACATTTAATATTCTGTTAGGGTTGCTTCATTTTTCTGTCCCTTGCCCTACCCCAGAAGTACTTTAAGGCAAATTCTTGACATTATGTCATTGGACCCTTATTTTCACTCATGTTTCTAAATATAAAGGCTTTTTTTTTTTTGCTTTTTTTTTTAAAAAAAAATATACAACCACAATAACATCACTCTACCTAATCACTTACTCTTTCTGGTGTTAAAAGGGGAAGGATTGGGTAGAACGCTTGCACAGCAAGCCCTGAGTTTGGTTCTCAGCTTCGACGGGGAGAGAAAGGTCGGCCCAGAAAAACGGCATTCAAACCCTTCTCCCAATCTTCTGCCTCTGAGAGTCTTTCTGCCTCCTCTTTCACATATCCCAACGCTCAACCATCAATCACTTCTGCTAAAACAGCTAGAAAATTATTTCCAGGGAAATGCACATCTTCTACCTATGGATCTAAAATGATAACCCATCCCAGCACTCAAAACACGCATAAGCAAAGCTCGGTTTGATACTGGCTTGCACTGTATCAGACAGGTGGTGAGATAATGAACTACTTCACAAACGGACAAAATAAAGATTAGTTTTTAGGGCTGGGGAGACGGCTCAGCAAGTAACATGTTTCTCATACAAGCATGAGGACCTTGGGAGGAGACAGGTCTCTCCTTGGGCTCAGCGCCCAGCTACTGTGGCCTGGTCAGTAAGCCGCAGGTCCCACTGAGATCCTGGCTCAAGAAACAAGGGTAATGGTTCAATAATATTCAAGGCTGGCTTCCGGCCTCCATGCTCACATATATGAACCTGCATGGACATGAACACAGACACAGATTCTGTACATACACACGCATGCGCACGCGCGCGCGCGCACGCGCACACACACACACACACACACACACACACACACACACACGAGGCAGAATAAGACATCCATGCAGAGCCTAACATATGGACACGCTCAATCTATATTAACTTAAACATTTATTCAAAATGCAAACTTAACAGTAGTTCTTCTTCGTGGTCAATATTTTTAGATTGAACCAAATCAAGATGCAATGTCACATCAGCATGGCGGCACGCCCTCAATCCCAGCACTTGGAGATACAATGTCACATCGGCATGGCAGCACGCCCTCAGTCCCAGCACTTGGGGCAGAGACAGAGATAAGCGGATCTCTGTGAGTTCGATGGTTTCCTGGTTTATTCACAGTGAGTTTCAGGCCAATGATAGTGAGACTGCTTCCAAAAGACCATGAACCGGCCAGCTAAAGATCCCAGTACTAATCAGAAAGGATTTCAGGTGTAGCTTAGAGATATATTATCTTAAAGTAAGATAGCTGTACTTCCCCTTATATTACCAGTAGTGTTTTATATCTTGGCTGCTCAAAAATATTATGCTTCCAGAAAATGTTTTTCCTCTTTTCAAAATACTAGAAAAGTGAGACTTCTCTGTATACAACTCCTTAAACAGTGGTTGAAACAGGCCATGTTTTCTTGCTACAAGAAGAAAATGTAGGTTTAAAAGTCCAAGGTGGACCTTTTACCTCTGGAAAAAAGACCCGAAAACTCTTTGATTGTCTGATTCACTGATTTATTTACTTATATTTTTTGGTGCATGGTTTCTCTGTAGCTTTTGGAGCCTGTCCTGGAACTCACTCTAGACGAGGGTAGGCTCAAGCTCAAAGAGATCCACCTGCCTCTGCCTCCCGGAGTGCTGGGATTAAATGAGGGTGTTGCCACTGCCTGGCTACTTTTTTGTTTTAAAAAACAAAAGCAAGAGCAGCTTTTAAGTGTTATCTGTGACTGGGCTAATTTAAGAACAATCCTTTCCTTCACAGGATGCTTCAAGCCAAAGTGCAGGTTGAACTGACTGAACTCATGTTCTTGAGTGTGAAGGGAGCCTATGAATATGTGGACGGGCTGGGGCAACCAGGCTGTGGCAGCGCACAGCGGAGGGGCTAGGGCAACGCATAGCTACTGACTGCTCACCACGGAGCTGAGGTTCCTAGGCTGGCTTCAACAGCTCTCACTCTTTGCTGGCTTAGGAAGGAGTGGGATATTTCATCTTTCTACTCTACAGTCTCAATTTCCAAACTCTTTATGATAGTTCTGCGTCATCTACAAAAAGAATTTAGTACCAAAAAATATCTGGAAAGACACAATCTTCAAATGGAAACTTTCAAGTGAGGAAACTCATGGACGTTTTTCACATCATCTTTAAAAAAATTATAAACTCATGAAAACATTCAGTTAATTTAAATCTCTTTCCAAGCCAGAATGACACATCCATACTTACACTTTGCTCAATTTTTCAAGAACAATCCGTCTTCTAATCTGGTTCTGGGAGCTTGAATCAATCAGTGGGAAGCTGGTATCACGCTGAAACCCATTCTTAAACAAAACAATCAGAAAAATAACCAGGTATTGTTTTCTTTCTATTAGTAGAGCAGTAACATTAAGCATAAACGTTGACCCCTCTACTATAGAAACAGACAAGAATTAAAACATCTAAACCTGAGCATCAGCCGAGTCACTGTCAGGTTGATGAACCCACCTGGCCCATCCACCCTCTTGTCTCCTCTGTAAAATGCTAAATAATAAAAAATGTACATAATAAATGTACACTTAAGGATTAACATCAACAATTGCTAGAACTTGTGGGAAAGTCGTGTTTTCAGAAAAGATCATTCAAATGAACTGGGAATGAGAAAGTTGAAAAGAAAAACAAGGCGAAGTAAACCCACTTAGTGTCTGTTTGAATGCATCGCAGAACTAGCGAGGTAGTGAAGAATTCTCTCATGAGAATCGAACAGATCCATCCTAGAGGATAACAATATCCTGTATCTCAGATCAGGTTCTGTGTGCTATGTCACACACTCTGAACAAATGCCAGCGGAAGCTATGCAAAGTCCCATTTACAGAGCAGAGACACAAAGAACTGAGTTTTAAGAAGCTAGCAGATGGCCGAGTGGAACTTTATCCACTACTTCCCAGTGAGTCCCTTTACACAGCATTCTCATCTGCGACATTCCATCTGTGTTTGGGCGAGGTGTGTTTTATACACCTGTGTGTGTGTGTTCACGGGCACGTGGAAGCCAGAGGTCAATGCTGCATGTCTTACTCTATCACGGTTCCCACCTCAGCTTCTGGAGAGCCTCTCACTGAATGTGGAGATGTTTCTTCTAGACTGGTGACAGGGCACCTGGAGCCCCCCTGCCTCCGTCCCTTCGCTTGCCTGGCAGTGGGTAGCAGATGCACACCACTGTGCCTAGAGTCATGAGTGCCAGGGTCTGAACTCAGCTCCTGAGGCTTGGGGAGCGAGCACCTTCTCCCTTGAGCCAGCTCCCCAGTCATGTCTGTAACATGTCACACAGACACGCTAACCGAACAGTACCCCAGAGAGCATCTGACTATCTCATCAATGTACCCTACGGCAAAGAGATGAGCCTTGCGCCCAGATTTGCTTTGCTGAGTTCTCCGAATATGAGCAGCCTACAAATATCCATCAGAAGACATACCTCTCCTGGGTCCTGCGACTTGGTAGTTTCCTCATTTAAAACATAGCGTCCTCTGTAGAACTCCCTGACCCTCAGATTCAGCATTTCCGTTTCTTTTTTCAAGCTCTCGTAACTTGGCAGTGGCTTTGTGGCCGTGTCTGAGCCTCTAAAGGGTAGTGTCTCGTCTAAGTTGTTCTGGGGTTGGCTCACAGCAGGACCACAACTAGCTGGGTCACAACTTAGATCATCTTCATCGAGTTCTTCATCGGCTACGGGGGCTGAAGGTGGTTTTGGGCACACGGAGGCAAGATCTGGGCCATACAAAAACTTCAACGTTTCTTCTGTCTTCCACTCAGTCAAGGTGTCCTTCAGAACTTGAAGTAAGCTTGCCTTTGCAACCTCAGGACCCTGCCCTGGGCCAGAGGCTGGCCCAGACCCTTGGTTAGACTTGGCAAATTTGACCCTGAAATGCTCAGCACTCTTCTTGCTTATCCCTACCAGAGTGACTTCTGACACACTGTGTCTGCTGTCAGAAGCCACTGACGGGCCAGGTGAGGAAGTCTGCGTATTTTCTCTCTTGGAAGGCAGCTCGTGGGCAGCCATGTTCTCCTGACCATCCAATCTGCAGTTACCCAGCCGCTCAGTGACGTTGGCCACCGTCTGCTCTCTGTGCCTGGAGGTCACTTTCTGACCAGCTTTCTTCTTCCTCTCCCTGTGCGGCTGTGGCCTCGTGTCGGCTGCCCTTGGTCCGTGTCCAGGGAGAAGCGAAGAGATGAAGTCTTGCTCATCGTCTGTGGTGTGGTCACACCAAGCGCTGGGAGCTGTGGCTTCACTCTGGGCCTCACGGGCACCAGGACCATCAATGTCTGCTGGTGTGACGGCGTCACTGAAGAACTGGACGACTTCTCCAGAGCGGCCACTGTACCGGGAAAGACAAGCAAAACCAGTTACAGTCTGGAATTTCCATCCCTTTAGACACAGGCTTACTTATACTCTCTCACATAAACTCCAAATGCTGTAATTTCTCCAAACCTAATACATGTTTGATACAATTCTTTTCCAGGTTTCCTTTGTCTGTTGCTAACCATTTTTACAATTCTTTTGTTTTTCAAGATGGGGTTTCTCTGTGTAGCCCTAGCTATCCTAGAACTCACTCTGTGGACCAGGCTGACCTTGAATCACAGAGATCCGCCTGCCTCTGCCTCCCTCAGTGCTGAGATTAAAGGCGTGCTCCACCCACCACCGCCACCACCCAACCCTATTTTACATTTCTTAAAAGCAGCACAGCAAACAAACACTGTAACAATTTGACACTATCCTGTTCAATGATTTTGATTTTTGCTTGAAAAAACAGAATATTTTCTAGCTCTAGCTGACCATTATACAGAAAGTTCCACGGAATAAAAAACACAAAGGTCAAAACAGAAATGAAGTTGGTACATCAACATATTCAACCAAAGATTCTATCTTTCACTTTTCAGATTCAACTGAAATAGGATTAGGAGTTCAGAAGGAGTGAAGACAAACAGAAGCCCCGCAGTCCACGTGGGGCCAAACAAGAGTGCGCGAGAGGCTGTGCTCACGCACACGTGTGGGGGAGAAGCTCAGGCACAGTGTGGGGAGAGGAGGGAGGCAAGGACTGCCGGGTGAGAAGAAAGCAAGCGTAACTGCAGGAAACAAGACCCGGCTGAGAAGATGCCTCAGCAGTTAAGACCACTCGTGCTGAACCTGGGTTCGAGACCCAGGACCCACAGGTGGCTCACAACTGCCCAGAACTTCAGGGCAGATAGGGAATCCAATGCCCTCTCCTGACCTTCCTGGGCAAACACATAAATACCAAAAAAAAAATGAAACAAATCAAAAACAAGTTAGAATAAAACTGGTAGTTTATGTCTTGTTATTTCTCTTGAGGTTTTACGGTGTCCACCTTACACTAGGTTAAAACCATAAAGGTGTCCGCCAATAAACAAGAGTCTCTTCTCTGTGCTGAACACCTGTGACTGAGAACCAGGGACGTTTAACTGAGAGCTGGGGGATCTGTTCTGAGCGATGGCTGCTGTTGAGCACACCACACTTACGAGCTTTGCGGTGGGGTTAGGAAAAAAACCCACAACCCGCATTTATACTGAAGCTCTAGATATTCCTTCAAATAACTAAGCAACACATTAATATCTTAAAATCCTGTAAGACCACAAAACCCTTTCTCAAATACAATGCGCACCACCTCACCAACAAAGGGACCATATCTGAGATGGAGGCTGTGTTTGTGTCTGTTTCAACAGGTTCAATTAGATGTCCTCAGGGGGACAGCTGGGTAATAAATCAGACAGCTCAAACAAATCGTCTTTCCCTCACAAAAGAAGAGGCTGAACACATCACGCGGTCTTTGTGCCACAGCAGCACAGGAAGTCCAGGAGCTCATGCCACCTGGCCACTCAGGACGGACAAGCTGATGCGAACGAACCTTTGTCCTTCCTTCAGCAGCTGGAAGTCGGGGGGCCTGGAACAAACCAAAGAGAGGAGACTGAAGGTAACACATCAAACACAGTCAAGGGTTTACTGTAACCATACTGCATAGGAAATATAATTGAAGAAGTAATTTGAATGAAGATTTTTCTTTTTTTAAGAAAAAAATTAAAGGGCAAACTACTAAAAACACATGCAAAAAAATCTGGATCCAATCTTTTGTTTTTTTAACCTAAAAGTCATTTGCAGAATTAAGGTCAAAGTCCATGCACCCGGTATAAGCGGACCACTCATCTCTAAATCCCCAACACTGTCAGATCTGGGTAGTCAATTACTTCGTTTCTTATTGTCAGAACTGTTAAGTAAATGTTTAAGTTACACTGATCCACCAGCTCCTTGAAGGCAGAGACCATGTTGCAATTCTTATCCAATCAACCTAACTCCTGAGATAGCAATCATATTGTTGTACTATGGTTTTTTGTTTTTTTGGGGGGGGGGAGTCTTACTCTATATCCCACAGCTGGGATTAACTGTGCCACCGTACCAGACCTGAGTGTTGGTGCAACCTGTGTGTGCAGTGCCTGGAGAATGCAGAAGAGGGTGTCAGGTAAGTTAGAGGTGGAGTTACAGACAGCTGTGAGCTGTCGTGTGGTTGTTGGGAACCGGTCCTCTGTGAGAGCAGCTAAGTGCTCTTCCCCACTGAGCCACCTCTCCAGTCCCTATACAAATCAAGTAAGTTAAACTTAATTTCATGAACAATTTGGTACATAATGTCAGAAATTACATTTGACCTTCATGAGTATTTTGGTCTGTTGTGGGTGCCCTAACTGGGGGTGAGTAGATGTGTGTGTTGTGTTTCCCCAGAGCGTCTCATCAAAGAACAAAAGTTCAAGGTCACCTTTGGTGACCCAGCAAGTTTGAGGCCAGCTTCAAAGAAAAAAGAAGGCAAATACAAAGATGGACAAACAAGACAGTCAGCAAATCCATGAGGACAGAAAAAATCCATAGCACCTCTGAAGTGACTAAAAAGATGCCTTTTCCAGAGAATTTTGTAGTGCGAACTTGAATTAGGGCGTGGGCACACTGGGCAAAGGCTGCACCACTGAGCTCCTTCCAAACCTGATAAGAACGAGCACCTTCTAAATGCCAAGAAGACAGGTGAAGCAAACAGAAACACTAAGGCCCAGAGCACACCAGAGAGTCACTAAGGCACCATTTAGGACTAAAGTCCCAAACAAGGGTGCACGGGGAGGATTGGGAAACAACAAAATCATTACAAAATAATAAAACCGACAACAGCAACAACAGAAGTACTAACCCAACCTTTCAATGAAGACAAGCTAAATGCACGCGTGAAACTACAACTTATTTGAATTTTGGCATTTCAAGGCTGCCAACTTAAAATGCCAGGCCCAGGTGTTTCCCTCGGCAGTGGAACCGCTCGCTGCTGACTACGGCAGTCCCTCTCCGTCACATCCTGAGCTCTCACATCAGAAGGTACACGGGGTAAAACTGGCGTCTGCCACTGCCACCACCGGCAGCTGAGTAATTCCTAAATCTTAAAAATGAGTGAGCTTTTTGAAGGCGTTTTCCCTTTCACACCTCAGCCTTCAATTGGAGGCTAAATGCAGGTCGTTCCTCAGCATCTCAACTCCTCCAGCTCCCCACTGCCTTCTGCTCACTGAATCGCATGACCGCCGCTCTCGTGGTCCTCCTCGCGTGGTTACTCATAACTCCCCAGCTACAGACAGACTGTTCCATTGCTGCTGGCTGTGTCTCTACCCTCTCCTACTCTTCCGACCTATGCCCTCACTCATCCCTGTGTATCCTGGACACAGCTAGCGCCATCGGAGAGGAGGGAAGTGCTGTGGGACAATGCTCTTGTGCCCTGTAAAGATCCGTCACTTGTATTGGTTTAATAAAATGCTGATTTGGTCAGTAGCCAGCCAGGAAATAGAGGCGGGGCAAGAACAGGAGAATTCTGGGAAGAGAAAGATTCAGTCTACAGCTGTGACCCAGCCACAGAGGAAGCCATATGAGAATGCCTCATGGATAAAGGTACCAAGCCACATGGTTAACACAGGCAAGAATAATGGCCTAGTTTAAGATGTAAGAATAAGAGGCTTGAGTTATTAGGCCAATCAGTTTATAATAATGTAGACCTCTGTTTGTTTCTCTGGGACTGAACGACTGTGGAACCAGTCGGGACAGAAAGCTCAGTCAACACACAGGCAACTCTGGAGTCAGTTTTCGCTTCTGCCTTCACATGGACTCTGAGAATCAAACTCGGGTTGCCAGGCACATGTGGTGTCCAGTTTCATTTCTGCCGGCAGTGATAAAGTACCGAGAAAGGTAATTTAGGAAAGAAAGAACATACTGGCTCATAATTCCAGGCTACAATCCACCGCCGAGGAACTGGAGACACCACATCCACAGTCAAGAGCAGGAAGAGAATAAACGCATGGGTCCCTGCTTGCTCATTCTAGTCAGCACTCAGCTAACACTATCTCTACTTTCACACAGTCCAGGATTCCAAGCCAGGGAAGATGCTGCCGCGGTGGCCTACGGAGTCCACGTGCCATTGCACACACGCTGTCCTCCTAGGGTTGGGGAGACGCCTTGGCGTGTACAAATCCCTGGCGGTCATGTAAAAGGCTGGGTTAGCTATGTGCTTGAATGTGACCCCACTGAGGGGAGCAGAGACAGGCTGGCTGTCAGCCTGGCTTCATGTTCCAATCCTGTTCAAGGGGACGAGGCAAACAGCTATAGAGCAAGATACCCAGCACACATGGCCCTGGCATCTCTTTTTCTTTCTTCCCCCAAGCCTAAATTCCTCCTCCTCCTTACTCTCCCTGCTTGGGAGTCCTGCCTATATCTCCTCTCTCAGTACTGTCCATTCAGCTTCTCATCAGACCAATCGTGCCTGAAATATCAATATATCACTCTCTATATACAAATATAGATACATCACTCTAATATATATCACACTAATAATAAATCATACTAATATACCAATATATCGCTCACAAAGGCATATCACACATATATACCTATCACATATTTATATATCACACACATGAAATATCACTCACATAAATATCACGCACAAATTTCATAGTAATTTTTTGTCAAACAGATTTTTGTTATAAAAAATCAGACTCATCATAAGAACATGTTACGTGCATGAGAGACACATGAACAGGAAATCAGAAATGATGCTGAGCCAATCAAGGAAAGATTGAAAGGCACGATCTCATCTGGTCTTACGTACAGTTTATAGCTAAAGACATTTGAAGTCAAACCTATGAACCTCACTCTTTATGCCCACCTTTCTAGAACAGATAATCATGCTTAAACCCACCCTCTTAACATGCAAGCAGGTGTCTACTTCACTAACATCTTTGTTGTAAGCTTCCTTTAAAGAAGTCTGTACTCGAGCTGGGGAGATGGCTTTGAGGTAAGAGCAGAAGCACTGACTGCCCTTCCAGAGGACCTATGTGAGGGCTCACAGCCATCTGTAACTCTAGACCCAAGGAACCTGTGTGCTCGTCTGGACTTGAAGGGCACTGCATGCGCATGGAACATAAGCACACATGTAGACAGAACACACAAAGTCTGCACTCATTTTCAGCTGCACATCTGCCATCTAGTCACCAGCCTCTGTCTGCTGGCTCTACACCCAATACCTGTCTTAAACGGCTCTTGCCAGATCACCAAGAACTATTTTGGTGGCAACCATTTCTTTTATTGTTCTTTTTCTTTTTTAAAGTAGAGGGAAGAGAAGCATCCTAAGAGCAAGAAGAGTGGACTAAACCAAGGAGGCAGGCAGGGAGAAAGAAAGAAAAATTATAACAAAGAACAGACCATTGCATTTGCAGTGAAGAGAGAACCAAGAGCACGGGAAGAAACCAACGCTGACAGGGAGGCCAACATGCCCACGTGTTCGAGCACAGTGGGTTAAAACACACTGGAGGTTGGAGGTTGGGATGGACGTTGAAAGTGAGTAGAAAGACCTGTGGATTATTAACACAAATGGGAAAATGAGGGGCAGTTGTGATTAGGCCCATGGAATGCCGGAGATACGGCTTTGGTGCCAGGTGGACATGGGCGGGAGGGTATTTAGGTGTATATGTATTTAAGTATCTATCTGTTTTTGAGTTTCACTACGTTTCAGGCTGGTCTGGAACCATTACAAAGTTCAGCTAGCCTTAAGTCTACCCTTCTCCTGCCTCAGCCTCTCAAATACTAGTATTATAGATGCGAGCCAGCAGGCCTCCTCACCACCTGCATTCCAACCCCAGCCCTTTCACACAAGCCAAGCATGTTGTACCTATTACTACACGCTTAAGCTCCACGGTCCCTAAAATACGTAGTTTAACAACCCCAGACAACCAAAACCCAAAATGTTATTGGTCTTAAAAACCTTCTCAGTAATGTCCAGCAATCCAAGTATAGGGGGGAAATGACTGGACCTTGGTAGGTGGAAAGGGCAGAAAGTTAAACAAGAAAGAATTTGGAATCGTCTTTGAGAGCAAGGCTGTAACCACCGAATGTGGAGTCTGAGATCAAATACGCTAAGAGTCTGTCAGCCCAGAAGGGTCAGGAGGAGGTCGCAGCCGGCTGAGGGCTGCAGACAAGATCAAAGCTGTGGTCAGAGAGGAAACTCTAGCTTACAACCCTGACGGCAGCAGGGGTCCAAATGCTGCTGAATCAAGGGACAATCTAACCGAAACATTTTATATCATCAATACAATTTAAGCTAGTTTGAATTTCATTTTGTAGATTTATTTTTTTGAAATGGGATTACACTATGTTAATCACACCGGTCTTTAAGTTCAGGACTCAACTGATCTCCTGCCCCAGCCTCTTCAGCAGCTGGTACCACAGGCTCACCTGGCGGTGTCTGTTTGTTTGTTTTTTTTTTAAAGAAATAAAATCTCTGCTTCTGATAGCAGGGGGCATTAGCACATAGCATATACCAACATTCTGGCCCATGGTTCCAGGCATCACTGTAGGGAGGTCAGAGAGGCAAGC